TCAGGGATATGCAGAAATGGGACCAGTGTTTTGGCCTGTTTCCCATTCACAAGCCACAGGAAAAAGCAGCTCCAGCTCAGAGAAGGAGCTGGCTGCATATACTGTGCCAGGTGACATTTTGCTCCCCCAGGCTTCTGAAAGGTATTCATATATTTACAACCTTTCTTAAGGTCATCTCTGCTGTGTCTCCAGCTGAGCCATTAAATATTAATTGGACTACTTTCCAAAAATAAAGAGCAGAACCTCAAATTTACTTGTGTAATTAACACCTCCCACAAACCAGGTGTCCTCCTGAACCAGACTGAACAAACCATTTGCTCTTCACAATACTGAAATATGCTATGTGCTTTTGAGACAGACACACAGTCACTTGTTCATTCTATGTGCACAAGTGCACGTAATTATTTGGGGGGAAAAAAGAACCTCAAATACAACAGAAAATATGCCCTCTAGGTGATGTAGTCAAACCTTCCCACTCACCCTAGATATCTGTCTTCAGTTTGTGGCTTGTGTCTGATGGATTGTTTAGAGTTTTTTTTAAGTTTCAGTCAGAGAGGCTTGAATATCTTGTTGTAGGTATTTTTTTTTTCAATAAGGCTCAATGCTGTTAAATGTTTCTAAAAGCTCAAATTTTAACCCACAGTTGTAAAGAGCATGATCAATCTCTGTTCATATCCAAGTACTTGCACTAAGAAACTTGGATTGTCACTTAAAATCATAGAGCCATTTAAGCTGGAAATTATTTTTGATGCCATAGACTCCAGCTGTAAACATATTTAGCCATGTAACAAGCGTAACATTGCAATTAGCTCTGAAATTTAAGTTCAATACCGGCATTATTCACGTTAAGACAAGGTAAATATGTATTCAATAATGACTGAGCTGCACAGATTATTTGCAGAAGTTTATTGGATGCTGATTTACCCAGATGAATAACATGCCTGCTCTTCAGTGAGGCTAAGGAATATATGGGGAGAAAATTCACAGAATTCAAGGTCCTCAGTGCTCAGCTGCCATCTAAGCTCAGAGACACTAAAGTTCTCATCCAAGAAAACTAGTTTTGTAGTGAAGCACATCCATCCTGTCAGGATTTAGCAGGCTGGGAGCCAGGTCATACCTAAACCCTTTGGGAACCTGTAGTTTAAGCAATACTTTGACTTTATTGCCTCAGTAACTCAGTCTGTCAGTCTCAGAGCTTACCTGAAAAAAAACCAACCAAACAAACAAAAAGCTTTATTTTTCTTTTTTTGAAGAGGTGACTTTTTCATAAATTAGTATCAGAGCACTCACCTATGAAATGAGGCACACAGACTCCGTTTCTTCCTCTGAAAAGGCAGATTCAAAATGCCAACCTGGATCTCACCTGAAAATATCCAAATCATCAGGCTTGGAAATATTTTGGCGAACGTGTGTTAGGAATGAAAGTTTAATGTCTCCACAGTTGCAAGGGCTAATTAAAGGTTTGATGTGCTGCAGAGTTTATTATACCCTGACTGCCATTAGGAGGAGGATGTCATTCAGGGGAGGTGCAGTTCTCAGCTCCAGTCACCAGAAAAAATACAAGTTTGGAGAAGAGGACTTTCTGAATTTGAATTGCAAACAGGAGCTGAAAAACCACAGCCCGGGAACTTTTTGGGGGCCCTACTGCTCTGAGAAAATTTCTCCTGCACACTCCTTTAACAACTTGCCATCTTTTCCCCTCAGCAGCCACAGGTGGGTGACAGCACCTCCTGCTAAGGAAATCACAGTTTCAGGCAGTTCCTGCTGACCCCTGTGGCATTTCCACCCCCACAACGCACCTGCTGAGTATTTGTCAGTCTCCTGTCTCTCAGCAAAGGCACCCCAGGCCCTTGGGCAGGAAATCCAGATGAAAGTTCCTAGAGAGCACTACCTTTGGGCTGGCAAAAGTGTGTCAATGGCAAGAGGCCATTTTGGATATCACACTTCAGCTTTGTTGGAAATCTTCTGATCCAGACTAAACACTGCTGTCAGGACTGTGCACCCCCTGTTCTATCTGAAATGTCAATTTGTCAGTAAGAGGGAATCCACAGCCTCTGGTGAATGCTCCCATCGTGTAAGATATATGTAGCACTAAGTCCTTGGATACTTTTGCAGCATTCCAGAGCAATGGGGCAGAGTGTGGTTCCCCCTAGCTCCTCCTGTCCCTGAATAACCCACCCAGGATGAATGGAGCACAGTCCCAATGAGTTCTGCCTATGTCAGGAAGCTAAGGGAATGAAATCGAGACCTGTCACTGAATGTTTCCTGCTTTGTTAGAAAAGTAGAGCAAGACCTTCTCTGGTGGAGAGCAGGGGGTGAGAAGAGAGAAAGGAAAAAATTACCTGGATACTGAGCAGGGGGAGATGCCTTTTGTTATTGCTAAACAAGGTGTTAAACTTCATTGCAAATCAGGACTGAGAGCACTGTAGCTCTCCCTGCCCTGCCTCAGTTTCTGGTCTGCAGCACTGTCGATCTTGGCTTCCTAATTCCATGTGGAAATAAAATCTAAAAAGATGTTCTGCAAAACCTAGTGCAGGCTCAATTTTTATTTTTTTTCCATCTAGACCTGAGAACCTCCAGAAATATTCAATGTTTAGTGAGGTTGAGTGGAACTGTAAAGTGTACACCCCCAACTGCCATATGTAATTGTCATTAATTAACCTAATAGCAGAGATAGCATTTTAACTAGGTTCTGGTTTATACCTTTAAAATGTGGCTTATAGCTTATTACCTTTAGAAGTTTATTACTGTAATAGTTTTAAAGTTTATTTTTTTTTTCTCCTCTCCCATTCTCTCTAAGAATAGCACTTTATTTAATTTGTATGTCTTGAAGGTGACAATTTAATACACTTAACTGTATGTAACATATTCCTTTCCCAAAGTGAGGACCATTTTGTTTAGGAAACCAAGGGTAAGCTAACAACTGTAGGTATCATTAAGCTCATGTTTATTCATGGACAGCTACCGTAGGCTATTAAAACTTTTTGGCACAAAACTGACTAAAAAATTACTGAAAATTTAGCATCCCTCCCACTCCCCACAGAGTTATCGGGTCCTTATGTTGCAGCTGAAACGAGAGACTGAAACATCAGGTTTTTCTAGCACCATGGAAGAGGGGGAGGCATAGGGAGACAGGAAGACATTTAAACTGAAAAGATTCCATAGACCCCTTTTTTTTTTTTTTTTTTTCTGAAATACTGTATTTACACAAAATTGAAGAGAGTACAAATACTTTACTAAGACAAAACCATTATAGTACATTCAATTTAAACACAGGCAGAACTATAGATGCAAAGAGCAGAGGCCTAAGGTACTTGCATGGGGGGAAGAAAAGAAGAAAAATAGCATGATAAAGGCCCCAGAGATTAAAAGCAGGAGGTAAGAGAACACCATGTTTGTTAGGCAGCATCATCCTTCCTTGACTTCAGTGGGATTGAACAAGACACCCTCCTTCCACACTGTGGATGGTGGGAAAAACCCTCTCAATGTGCTGACAGCTCAACACTGATTTTGCAAAACAGTTGAGTGTGTATTTAATTTTCAGCATGGAAATAGAACTGTTAGCTTCAAAGAAAATTATATTTGTGCCTAATCACATGCTTATATGCTTAGTTTGACCAGAAATAGCCTTCTTAATGCTTTATAGGGTCAAGTGTATTGTTACATAAAAAATAAGAATGTTTTATTGTCATCTTTCTTTTTATTTTTCTTAAAATATACTTTAGAATTGCTTTACTTTTTCCCTTCTGTACTCAATTAGAAAATAGTTTATTGAATGCCATAGAATTCTTAAATTTTAATAAATGTCTTGCATAATCAAAAGAATGTTGTTCAAAAATAATTCCCACATTTTTCCAAAACCTGTTTAAATCTTAAAAGAAATAAAAGAGAAATATACATATAATAACAAAGCAGCTTTATATTTCTGGGCATTTGGCAGCAGGTCTGTTATAATATTTCTTACATCTCTTGTTGTCAGTTAAAATCACCAGATTAATTTATCATTATTAAAGAAGAGATTGTACAGTATTATGACAATCCACCATACATAGCCAATGCATGAAATATTTTACACATTATATATCCCTTAAAAAGAATTAATATATTTTAGCCTTTTCTTTGAAAACAGATAGCTTCTGAAGTAATATATCTTAAACACAATGGTATCTGTCACTTCTACTGATTTCTTTTTCTGAATAAAAAGCTTGCTTGAATAGGACTACTAGCTCAGTGATGGAACTACAGTGCTATTTAACTAAATTCCATACAAGTCTTCGTTACTGTTGCTGCAGTTATTGTAATCACATACCACTGAAGTGCTAGATATTTGTAACTCAGATATGTGGACTTTGGTTATGCTTGATAGAATACTGGCATATCAAATATATGTACCACTTCCTAAAGGCTATGTTACAATCATGATGCCTAGTAATAAATAATAATAATAATAATAATTATAGTATTAATAATAGTAATAATAAGAATAATAGTAACAATCTCAGATTCAAAGTGCTGACTCACTTGAGGCACCAATACCATAAATCAATCAATTAAAAGATCTATTTTTAATGTTCAAAACTAACAGCAGATCCTGGGCTGCCAAGTCACATGCGCAGCACGGAGGACTCTGAACCTGTCCTTCCAGCGTGGGGATTCCCGTGCTCCCAGAAGACACTGGAATGTCATGTCTGATATGGAACGCTCCGAGACATACCAAGTCTTTATGCATGAAACATTAAGAGATGTCTAAAATCCTCTAAAGGCTTTCTTAAAACCCCTCAAGCCAATTCTGTTCACTGGGGACAAGGCTTTGCCATGGATTGTGCTTGGCTGCAGACCAGGGAAGAGCCTGTCGATGAAAGTCCACGGTGAAATGTGTCGCATTAATGCAGCCTTCACACCCTGGAGACACTGTCACCACTGTCAGCATGAGAGGAGAAAGGCAGTTTTCCAGCAGCAGCAAACACCTGTCTCCCTGGAAGGGGAATGCTTTCATGTTGTCAGTTTGTTCTGTGCAAGCAGTAATCGTTTTCAGTGTCGAGAGAACTGTTGTACCCCGATGACGGATACAGGTCCCTCTTAAGTATCCTGTTGACGATGTTGATCAGAACTTTTTTGTACTGTTGACGTAAAAGTGAGTAAACAAACGGATCTGATGCAGCCTTACTGTAGGTGAGGCACTTGCTTATAATTCCCCAGTAGTAATTTATGGTAACAAAAGGAATGAGCTCTATCAACCTGTTAAACATTAAAGAGAAATGGAAACACTTGAGCGTTATACTCACACTGAGCCCAGTGCTCAACTCACGCTTCATGAAACATTCAAGCAACATTTATTTTCTTACAGTACACAGTCCCTGCAGGAGAAGGGCCATGTACTTACTCCTCACATTCAATAATGGCAAAGAGAACTTTCCTATCGAGGCCACTGGGAGACAAAATCAATTCCTACTGCGGGAAGAGGGAAAAACTGTTTTCAGTGGTAATACTTCTGTGTAGAGTTGATAAGAGAGTGCTGCAGTTTACTGCTCACTTTCTGAATTTACTGAGCAGTGCTGGTAAATGGTCAAAATTGTGGTGACATAAATGACTACCTCTTTCCCATTGCAAGCTTGAGATAGACACATGTGACTTGGGGCACCCAGACTCACTGAGCTCAGTTTCCTGAGTAGAGCTGTCAGGTGACACTTGAGACATTTGGACATAACCCCATTGGCATCAGGCTGCTGCTCCTGGAAGGTCTGCTTTAGGTCCTGTGGCATATCTGCCAGCCTAGGTAAAGGACTCAGATACCATGCAGCATCTCAAATGACACCAGAAATGTGGTCTAGGTCACTGAATCCACAGACACAGATCAGCAAACCTTCATTACAGCACTGTGGTGAATTAACACAGACACAGAGCAGACTCACATCAGACCATTGCAGTATGAAGAACAACCTGGCAGTATCCCAGGCAGGTCTGACTGGCAGCTGCAACCCCACGGTATGATTAGCAGCACACCTACAACTACTTAGCCTTGGAAGCTTTTGTGTGCATTTAGCTAACTTCTAGACTGGCCAAAGAAAGCAAGGAGACAACACTTTTATCATCATTATATGACCAGTCAGCTACATCCAGACCTGTGTCTCCTGGTCTGTGCTTCACGGATGATTAGTGGCCTCAGCACCTCAGCTGAGAGGGATGTATTAATCATGGGGGCAGAAACCACAGCTAAGTTAAACAATTTTTCCACAGAAGTGAGGGCAATCCTTCAGACTATTCCAGCAAATGTCTCACCCAGCTCATCTGCCGTGGGCAAATCCTCCAGGAAGGTGCAAAGTATAGGGTGAGGAATTTTTATTTTGTGTATATCTTTTGTAAAACCTTTTGCAGGAGCAAGAGTATGCTACTTTGCTCTATTCATCCCAGAAGTAAAGAAAATGTTCTGGGAGATAAAATAGCCCTTTTCTGTACTCTAAGACATCACTGTTTGAAGATGTAAGATCAGAAGTTTTCTTGAGAATTGAAGAACCTTCTGTCCTCTTTTCAAATTGCAGAGCTCCCGACTTGCAGGGTGTTGACTTTTGAAGCTGTTCCAGTCCCTCCTCATAGAACAGCTGACTTACCATCATTTGGACTGAACATTGCAGCAGGAAAATTTCTTCTTTATATGGCTAAAAGTTAAATCATTCCTATGACAAGTGCATTTAAAAGAACAGATGTCTTCTGTTTGAAACTGGTCAGAAAAAGTTCCAGTGAATTCAAAATAGACAGAATAGGAAGATGCAAAATATAAGAAATAAATGTACAATAAATGACACTTGCTCTGTGATTGCTTAGGTTTATCCCATCCTGCATATCATCCTAATACAAGAAAAATATTATTGATGTTTTTATAAAGGCACTAAATAAGAAGAGAAAGATATCTTTCAGTCTTGAAAATAGATGTATTGCTATGTTCCCATTAATGCATTATAGATCCAAACTTAACTGCGCTGAAGCCAACAGAAGAAAAATTACACAGATTTTAATAAGATAAAGGGTCTGGCCAAAACAAGTCAGACTTAGAAATACCCATCTGAATGCATCTTAGTAAGATTTTCTTGTTTTCAGTGCTGTTACAAAAGAGATTAAATTCATCTGTCGTCTCTTAGTGAACAGACGAATATATTGCTAATGAGACTAATCTCCTTCAAATTTCTGAAGTGAGGAGCAAATACTGAGCTCACAATGCAACCTGAGTCACCAGGCCAAGCAAGACAACAGGGAGGATGGCTTTTATATTGTCTCCCCAGAGACTGCTTCAGTGCCACCCCCACTAAAAGCCAGGATAAGGGGAGAACAGAGAAACAGGCACGGCAGCAAGTTCTCCAATCTCACCTCCATCACCACCTTTCATGGAGTGCTGTCTTGGCACTGCCTTGTCTTTGAGACAAGGAGCCTTTTAGGATGTCCTCCCCAAATACCTTGACACACATTTCCACAAACCAGCCCTCAGCCTTCTCTGTAGTGATTCAGTGGGTACCACTTTGTCACACATAGAAAATGCACCATCTCACATTTGCCAGATGCAAGGTCTGAAGAAGGAAGTAACTTTCATTTTAGAAGTTTATGAGAAATACCTCCACCCTAAAAAATTCCTCCACGTTTGGATTTTGCTGAGCTTGGTAATGTTTAGATGGAAAGAAGATGGTAAAATCCACTTTGCTCAACATAATTACATCCTGATTATGGCAAAAGTGAATAGAACATGACTCAAAATGTACTGAACAATGATAAATTAACCTTTTAACTATGTGATGTAATGTTAATATTTGTAATAATCCTTTCAACTGCAGAAAAAAAGATGTAGTTATCCAGGCAATCAGGAAGGAAACCCTTTCAACATGTAAATGGGAACTGAAATAAATGTCACTTTAAAAATTTAAAAATTATTGTCAGTTTAGTGCACTGGCCTTGACCTGTCTCCTACTCCTCTCAGAAAAGGGCAGTGGCACTGACCATAAATGGCCTGTATGTGTGTGCCTGTGTGAGATCAGAGCACTAAAGCTGGCCAGTTTCTGTGAGCTGCTGCGGCTGCAGACACTGGCAGCTTGGTAACAACCTTGAAGAAGCCCTCACCAGGAGGTTTTGCACATTAGTGCACCTCAACACAAGTCAGCACTCTTCAAGGCTGTCTTGAACACACTGTGAAAGTGGGAAATATTTTAAAAAATCACTTTTGAAAGATGTAGCCCATTTCAGTTTAGAGAAGAAAGGTTAATTGCTGGGATGCTGCAATTCAGTGAAGTTACACAGACTTAAAACTCACTTGTTTATACAGGATTAAAAAAAATAATAATTATCTGTTGTATGAAGACTACACAAGTGAATAACAACAGTGATGCATGGACACTTCAAAAGGTGCAAACACCAGGATGGATGCCTATAATTCTGTCCAGTTGAGGAACATGGCATTTCCTATACATTTAAGAAGTTTAATTATTGCTTTTCCTGGGAGATAACTTTTACACCTCATCACAAGTCTGTGCTGCACCATTAGCAATATATTTACAGGCATTAATGTTTCTAGACTGAAATCTTATCTGACAAATTATCAGCCTGGACAAATTTAAATTATATCAACTCAGCTTCCAATAGCAGCAAGCTTGGCCTTATGCCTAAAACAAAATAAACAAAAAAACCCAAAAAACCCTAAGCTAATCAGGAAAGTCTGTTCTGTCTGTTGCTACGTTTGTGCTAATAAGGAAGGGTGGCAAGTCTTTTAAACTGCTTTTATCTCTGACTGGCATGTAATTAATTCCCAGTACTTGTCCTAAAAGCTGCTTGCTTTTGGCAGAGGTGCCCAGACCTGGCTGCGATGAGGGAAGGAGAGCCAGGTCCTGCCGGGGCTGCCCCTAGGACTGGGTGTGTGGACAGGAGCAGCGTGTCAGGGTGTGTTTGTGTGTTTTTGTGTGCTCTGCCCCTCAAGACTGGTCCCGGGGGTCCGTTTGGCTCTGGTCCCCCAGAATTAGCTGTAGGACCCCATGGCACATCACAGGACATCTCGATCCCGCAAAGTCTCCCACCCCCACAGGGGATACTGACCTGGTGATAATGTAAGGACCAAAACAGATCACGAATGACCCTATAAAAATACTGATTTTCTTGGTAGCCCGCTGCCTCCTCCTTTTCTGCTCGTTCAGACAGCGCTGCTTCACACTACAGAGAGAAAAGAGCAGCGAGGGTGTTAAGGCAAGAAGGGAGGAGGTGAGGCGTGAGCCCAAGGAGAGGGGAAGAACCCTCTCCACACCCTTAGCCCCTGCACCCGGGAAGGGAAGGGGAGAGGAAGGCAGCCCGGTCCGGGGAGAGGAGGGCAGCCCGGTCGGGGGGAAGAGCAGCCCCGAGGGAGGAGGGCAGCCTCCCGGGGGAGAGAAAGGCAATTCCCCCGGGGAGAGGAGGGCAAGGAGGATAGCCCCAGCCCCACCGAGCCCCGGGACGATCGCACTCAACAAAACAGTGACTCCCGCTTGAAGAGAGCTCGAGCAAATGAGATAACCCGGAGAGCCAGATTAGCATTTAAACAGGTTATAAATGCCCAAGGCACCGTTCCTGGCACTGCAAGCAGCGTCTGAAGCTAGAGCCATGCGGCCGGGGCAGGCAGGAAAGGGTGCTGGAGAGGCGGGATATGGCTTCTGCCCGGGGGAACTACCGCGAGTGACCGGGGCTGTGAATCCCAACGCGCACGCTTTACCTGGGGTGGATATCCACCAGCAAAACCAGAGTCTGCATGGTAATAATGTCTATCCGCTTGCAGTGGAACCGGGCAACTTTCAACACCTTTAAATAGGTGAAACACAAGATCACCAGAGACAGCATGAAACTGGTGGAGTGAAAGACAATGGTGAACACTGTAAACCTTCTCCGCTCCGTCTCCTCCTTCAGGTGTAAGGTGCAAGAGGCGTAAACGCTGTTGTAATCTACCCATGAGTAAAACAAGGATACCAAGGGGAACGTGAGAGAGTGGAGCCACGAGTAGCCCATCAGTATCACAGCGTCCTTATACCGCATCTTGCTGGTGTAGCTTAGGGGGAACACCACGGCAATCCATTTGTCGATGCTGAGCGCTGCCATGCTCAGCATCGTGTTGGAAGTCAGGAAAGTTTCCAGGAAACCCACCGCCTTGCAGACGCAGCCCCCGAGGGGTTGCTGGTTCCTCAGGATGCCCAGCAGGGTAAAAGGCATGTTCAGAACGGTGAGAAGCAGGTTGCAGAAGGATAAGTTCACCAGGAAAACCCCGGCGACCTGCTTGCGGATCTCCGTACTGTAGACGAAGCATAGCAGCACCAGGAGGTTGGAGAGCAGAGAGACGACCAGCACCAGCACGAGGAGCAGCGCCAGCAGCACGCCTGCCAAGTCCATCTCTCAGCGGGTCGCCTGGAGCGGGCGAGGGCAGGAGGAAGGGGGCACCCGCGCCGGCACCGCAGCCTCGCCTGCCGCCCAACCCGGCCGCCCGCGCATGGTGCCGGCGGCGGGGCAGAGCCGGGACAGCGGGGAGAGCGAGAGGGGCAGGGGCGGCCAGCCGAGTCAGAGAAGGTGCGGAGAGAGGGGCGAGGGGAGCGGGACTGGGAGCCTGGACGGGGCAGATGGGGAGGACAGGGACAGCGGGGCCCGGGCTCTCTGGCAGCAGAATCAGGCAGCGGGGCAGCGGGACCCGGGAGGAGAGTGGCCGGAGCCGAGAGTAGGGCGTTCGGGGCACACAGCGACAGGATCGGGAGATAGGGGGAGAGGGGGGTACCCGAGAACAGGAGCTGGAGATAGGGGGCCCGAGGCGCCCAGAACCCGGAGCCAGGGGGAGCCGGGGGAACGGAGCCGAGGCAGCGGGGCCGGGGCAGCGGGGCCGGGGCAGCGGGGCCGGGGCAGCGGGGCCGGGGCAGCGGGGCCGGGGCAGCGGGGCCGGGGCAGCGGGGCCGGGGCAGCGGGGCCGGGGCAGCGGGGCCGGGGCAGCGGGGCCGGGGCAGCGGGGCCGGGGCAGCGGGGCCGGGGCAGAGGGGCCGGAGGAGCGGCGCTCGCCGTGCGCTGTCCGCGGTGCTGAAGCGGGCGCTGCCCCGACGGCCGCCCCGCTCTGCCTTCAAGCCTCGGGGCGCGGCCCCCCCAGAGCCCGCGCCCCCTCCATGCCCCAGCGCCGCTCCGCTCCGCCGGGCGCACGGCCTCCGCAGGCTCTGAGCATCTTCCCCCGCTGCCCAGCCCCTCAAATACTCCAGCCGCCGAGCCTCCCGCAGCGACTCATGCGCAGACGAGCGGCTGCGAGGCACAGGCTCAGCCAGGGATCGCGGCGACGCGCTGATCCACTCCCGGATCGCAGGCGAGAGCAGCAGGAAGCCAAACTTTCCGCTAGTGTGCAGCTCAGGAAGGACCAGACCTGGAGATGAGTTACTGGTGCTTTGATCCCTGCGCTGTGCTCAGGGACAGACTGAGCGCACCAGCTGTATCTGGCACTCCTGAAACCTGTTCAAAACCTGGTGTCTGTGTCCTTTGGCAGGCTTGGCCCCCTTACATCTGAGGGATTGCTTGCCCTTTTCCCCCTTCAACGCTTGCTATGATTGCCCTCTGGGCATTCACACCCGCACCTGCTGGCCAGCAGTGAGGGATGGTTCTTGGTTAGAGGCTCCACTTTGAATGCTTGGACTCACCAGCTAGTTGAACAAGTACACACATTAGGGCGATGCTGGCACACTCTGTGGTAATCTGTAGTCTCTCTTTTTACCATTTTCCAGTCACACCAATAACATGACAGTGTGGTGGTCAGAAAGTTTTTTTCTGTTATCACATTCTGGCAAAAGCTGAAAAGACAGACAAGAAAGACAAAAGAAATTCCACCCCTGCAGCTGTCAGAAATGTGGATCAAGTGGCTAATTCCCAAAGATGTGAATCTTTGTCTTAGATTAAAAACAAAAAAAGACCAACACAAACAAAAAAACAGAGAGAGAAAAAAGAGAGTAAGTTTTGGTGCATCAAAACGCTGGTACAGAAAAAAGCTGCCATGTCTAATCACTGTCACATTTTACAGTTGATCGGCAGAACTGACACAAAGAAAAAGGAGAAGAAAAGGTGGATTTCCTACCATCCAAAATTACTATTAATATCCTAAGGAAATGCTGTATTGTATATATTGTGCCTACAGTGTAACCTTGTCACGCAAGTGTGACCACTGTGTGAATAACTGTACATAAAACTGCTTGAAAGAGCCTGAAAGCAATGTAGGTTTTGTTGGGTTTTTTCCCACAAGAGTAGTTAAAGTTTTGGATCAGTCCCTAATTGAAAAGCTTGCTATGGTAAATTACACGTCTTAACGAAAGAGCAAAGCAACAAGACATGAGATGTGTTATTTGGAAGCAAACCAGTACAGTACTATTCCTCAGAATGGAAAGAAAATTAATGTTTTCTTTGATCAGAAAGCTGTCATTTCCAAAGTTAAAAAAGTGCAGATACATTTCACAGGGCTTATGCTTGACGAGCAAAAATCCTGTATCTGTGTAAGCATTTGAGGGAAAAGAAATCTATGAAAGCATGACAATACCAGTTTTCTCAGAGTTCAGTTGTTGCACTTCTATCATCAAAGAGCCAACACTGTTTGGGAAGGGTTGGGAAGAAATGAACCATCGTGGGGAACCTGGCTGTATCCTTACAGAACAATGGTTCTGCAATTACTCCCTCTCTCACAGCAGCAATTCTTACAGTTCCTACTGATCAGGAGCCATATATTACCTACCTTTCATTTAACAGCATCACAAGGTTATGGAGCCTTTATGTTAGCCAGCTGGGAATAGGGGTTGAGTAGTGGTGTCAGGTGGGGTAGATGCTATTTTATATCATCTCAGAGACAACCTAGATGTGCTGTTCCCTTACTGGGATAGCTACCTGAAAAGCTGTTTCCTCTTGGATCCAGACAAAGGACAACTTCTGTCTCTTTCTTTCTCTCTGTCTTCTACACATACATATATACAAACATAATTTCTCTCATACGGCTTTTTCAAATGAAGAATGAATTTTTTCTCAAAACTGATGCAGAAAGAATACATTGATATAAGACAAGAAAATAAAAAAAGGTGTCAAAAAGGTGGGAGAAAAGTTATTCTGATTTTTTCACATGTACATGTGAGTTCTATAGTACTCTGCAACTATATTCTGGGATCAAAGAACCCTGTACAGATGACTTTGTTGGATTTCTCCTTTTGCTTTCAGTGGAACTTCGTTAATGTGATGAGTTAAACATGCACATAGCTTCCTGTGGAATGTGAGTCCTCTGCTGACCCTTTCCCATTTTCAGGCAGCAACCCCTAACACTTCATACCAGACACCTTCCAGTCTCGCCTGCAGCTTATGAGGCTGGAAACAGCCAGAAGGCTCAGACTTGCTGTGCTGGGCTTGCAAATGTGGGCAGGGCCTCCTTAGCCCCCAGAAATACATTTACTCCTGCTATCTTTTCACATATAAGCAGACATATGTATGACATATTATGTAATTTCAAATGCTCACAGCAGTCATACTAAACACATACATTTTCCCAATCAAGATCTTACAGAATTTGTCAAGGCTACTGTCATGGTGGAAACTGGGGACTGTAGAGACTGCTGTAATACAATTAAGAAAAGGAAAAATAGAGATGTTCTTGCCAATAATTATCCCTTAATAAACATAGACTACTTAGTTAATACAGATTAGGTAAGTGCCTGAGACTTTAACAGCTGCATCATTCAATAAATCTACACAGTCATCTGTTCTAAATATTGACCACAACTTATTTGATTTAATGGTGAATGGACTGTACTTTTTTGAAAAGAATGGGGTAAGATTCAAATTCCTTTTTTAGTTTCACTCCAGGAGAGATGTGTCATGCAAATTTCAGTGTACATCACAACTGCACATAATCAGCTCTAATCAATTTATTCTGCAATGGCTAGGAACACATTTATTTTGGTTCTAATTTTAAGAAAGCACCGTGAAAGAAGGAAACCTCAAACAAATTATATCAATTAATTCACAAGTACAGAGAAAAGCAACCCTTTTCCCCTGATCCTCTTATGACAGGTGAAGAGAGGGAAATTAAATTATATTAACCAATATGGGGGGAAATGACTCATGGAACTGATGTTACACAAAAGCTTTTCACTTCTAGGGCACTTGCTAAAATGTGACCCATTTCAAAAGTGAGTAAGACTGGTTAATACCCATGAGAATTTTCAATATGTCCTGTAAATAGGTCTGGTACTGATAGATCCTGACAAGCACAGAGAAATATCATCTTACTTCCACAGTGACTGCAGGTGTATTTTTGTTTTCACGTTTCATTTAGCTAATGAAGCTTTAGTGAAGTCAGAGTCCTTCAAATCTCTTATTATTCTTTTGTTCTTTTTTTTTTTTTTTTCCCTCTTTCTTTTCAGGGGACTGTTTTATTAGGATTTGAACTATAGAGTCTTTGAGCAAGCAGGGCTACTACACAAATATAGCTTTTATTCTTTCTGGAACAATAAGACAAATAAAGGAGCAGATAGTACTACTGTGACAAGTGACATCCTGTTAGTTTCTAAAGAAAAGATGTGAAGCCTGACTCATCAGTCTAATACAATTCTGAAAGACTGTTCCTGTGGCAGAATTCCAGTAGGCACATTTACCACCTGTGGAATAACTTTGTCCTAAAAATCTTCCTAAAATGGAACAAAGAAAAACTCCACATGTGTAAAGCCCACACATTCCTTCACTAGGCCTCTACTTTTGCGGGAAAAATTTGGAGCAGAAATATGAAGTTCAACCATGCCACAGTTCTGCAGATTGAAATTTCTTCAAAATTGCCTAAGTACTATAATGATGAATCTCAAAGTTCAACAGATAATCTTGCAGCTGTATCAAAAGTCTATACTTTTAAAAAAATCTTTTGAGTCATATTTTCTGTTTATGCAAACTAGATATATTCTTATACTCTGCAAAAATATATCTCAAAATTATTCCAGAAGACATTATTTTATTTAGATAGATGGAGAGCAACATAGCTGGTGAAGTGTCTGAAATCTTATGAGTGGCTGAGGGATCTGGGCTTATTTAGCCTGGGAAAATGAGACACATGGAGAAACTTTTCACTCTCTACAACTGCCTGAAAAGAAGTTGTAGACAGGTGGGGATCAATCACTTCTCCCAGGTAACAAGTGACAGAACGAGAGGAAATGGCCTCAAGTTGTGAGGTTTAGATTGGACAACAGGAATACTTTCTTCACCAAAAGGGTTGTCAAGCATTGAAATGGGCTGCCCAGGGAAAGGGTTGACACATCATCCCTGGAGGTATTTAGAAGACCTCTAAATATCTTCTAAGTGTAGGTGTGACACTGAGGGACATGGTTTAGTGGCACTTGGCAGTCCTGGGTTAA